GTATATATAGCTACATAGTTATACTTAAGAGATAAATGAAATTTGATATTTTATATATAATTAGTAGTAACTAATTCAGAATGTCTTCCCCTAACAAATAATTAAGAATTCCTAGGAGTTTAAGAGGCATAAAAATATAATAATTGATAGTAACATATATGAATTAAAATTAATTATTATTTTATAAAATTAACAAAATATTAACAACATTATTAAAATATTATAAAAAATACTACTTTACTAATATTTAAAAAATATTACCTAATTATATAAAAATGTTATTAAAAGTCTTTAATAACATGAACTATATACAATATTTTATAATATGTTACTAAAATAAATTAATAATATTTATATATAAAAATGTTACTAAATGCTGTATTATTAATGAACACACCAATAATTCCTTTATTATTAAATGCGTTAAATAAATGCATATGGCTGTTGGTTGCATGACATGGTTTTACTCTTTTGTATACATTAGGGCATGGGTTTGTTTAAAATTATAAATTTCAATCTTCTTTTAATTTCTCATCTATATTTTTTCAAATTAATAGAGAGTCCCGTCATTTAAAAGATCTCACACATATATGAAAAAACAATTTCACACTCAAAATTATTTTTAAAATATATTTTTTTAATTTTTTTTAAGTACACCTGTTTGGTCAACAATAATATTGCAGTGCCTGCAATATATAGTCTGCTAAGATTTAAAAAATATTAAATCATTAACAATTCTCTAATTTATGGTCAGAATCGAGTATATTTAATAATTCATTTTATTTGTTGGTGCAGGCGGAAAAATAGAAAAGACAATCTAAAATTCCATTTTATTAATTGATGTAAAAAGGCAAACAGAGAACCTGAAGTTTTGAAGTAATCAAATCTACGATTTTTGCAACCTGAATATTAATTTATTATATTACAATTTTTTTTACTTTTTAATACCTTTACTATTAGGCCCACTTTAATTACGTATAGTTTTATATTAGGAAACTTAAACTATAGTTTGGGTAAAAATTTTAATAATCATATTTTTCGCTTATTTTTTTAAACACCTCTGACAACGTGAAAAAAAAATTAAAAAAAAAAGAATAAAAAAGAAGAAGCGCGATATGATAAATAATATAATAGCAAGATAAAGATAGTGGGTATAAAATATTTTAAAAAATAATAAATATGGATACCATCGCTTTAAAAATTATAAGATTTAGAATTTCCCAAACACATTTCGTCACAAAAATCATCATATTAATTATTTTGTTTTTTATTTCTTCTTATTGTTTAATTTCCCCATAATAGGCACCCATAGGAGAGTCAAAAAAGTATTTTCCATTATATTATTTATAGGAAGGCTTCCATATTATGTGAAGAGCAGCCATAAGTCAAACAAGAAGGGAAATTCATTTTTGTTTTTATTTTAAGGCAGACTATGTCAAGAGTTTGAACTAACCCAATCAATGCTTACAAACCTTTCAAGTTTTTACCATCTTCGGCTTTTTTCATGTTATTTGATGACATTTTTTTAAGAATAAATTCACCATTATCCACGCAAAATTGGCAAAAGAAGAAACTAGTAGCTAAAGCTATTATACAACCACAACAAACCAAGCCATATATGCTTTATCTTCTAAGACAACATTTTGTTTTCAATAGTTTTTGTTTTGAGCATATATTCTACAACTCTTCAGTAGCATCAAGAGCCATCTTCTAGTTCGGATATAGAACAAATCAGGAAGCCAACAAGGGATCATGGAAGTGCCGGAACATTCCAATTTCAACATTTTGACAAAACAATGACGTTAGAACACATGCCCATGTTTAAACTTTGCATATCAATGAGAAGAGACAATCTTTTTAAGTTTATATATTACCATTCACCTTAAATTTGTTAAGGAGTTTGAGAAGGAAATATATAACATCACATGTTTTAGGTGTTTTAATTATTTATATGATTAAATTTTTATTTTGTTGTTATTGTTATGTTTCAAAATTTTTGGAGTCAAGAGATTCTTGATAATTAAGTAGGCTCCAGGTTAGTTTTGGTTAGAATTAATTAGGTCAACTATAGTAGGGATATATAAAAATTTTCTTAAGACGTGAACCTTATAAGTTCATGTTTTAAGAAAAAATAAAGAAAAAGTCCCTGGAGCCAGAGAAATCATTTCTTCTCCTCATTTTTTATTCATCCTAAACTCTTCCTATAGTTGATCAGAGTTGGTAGATTGGTTATTTAAAGCTTTTGAAGCTAAGAATACCAAGTTAGAACCGTGCGTAGTTCACTTCTTCCTTCTTCTTCATCTCTTTTCAATTAGATATTCTCGAGGTAAGAGAAGTTTGTAATTGATAATTATTGTGTTGTAATTGTTGTTCTACAGTTGGAATTCATTCATGTATGGCTCTGTTTTGATTGAATTAAGATGAACTAGTGGTTTGTAAATGAGTTTGTGGTTTATTGGTGGTATGGAAGAAAACTTAGTGATTGTGGAATTGTGAAGGTTTCATGTTGTATGTTGTCGTGGAAATGTGTTGTATTAGTTATGGATATGTGAAAAATATGATTGCATGTTGTCCATTTGCTGGGTTTCAAGTAGATTGAGCCAAAATGAGATTCTGCTAAGTATGAAAATTCTCATCATATTAGGCATGCCTTCATAGCGCTAGATGTGGCTCCAGTTAGGAACTCTCTATCCTAATCATGTCGAGTGTGGAATTGGTAGTGTCAGGTATGGCTCAATGAGGAGGTCTCTATCTTCGTCACACTAAACATGAAATGAGTGGTGTCGGACGTGAGAACTCGAGAAGTTCTCTGACTTAGTAACATTGAACCATAAGATGAGTGGCGTTAGACATGATCAAAATAGAGACTCTCTACCTAGATGACATTGGATCTTGCCAAAAAAAATTGGTGAGCTTTGGAGTGTTGTGTGTCACCCAAAGGGTGTTAATACAAGTTCAATCCAATGAATTGATTTTCATGACATCCTATGATCTTAACGAGTTAACTTTGGTTGCTTTTTTCAACTTTCTAACTCCCACAATTTACTAACTCAAGAAGTTAAATTACATGCTGAGTTAATTTGTCCTATTAGGTTGACGCATTTTTTCCCCCTTAACTTTTAGCAGGTTACGATAATATTGTGAACTTAATTATTTTATTATTATCGAACAATTTATTTGAGAGTTGTCCATATGACTCCATCCAACAAGAATTAATACATGCCACGTAGAGTTTTTTTTTTTTTTTTTCTCCCGAATCTTGCCAAAAAAAATTGGTGAGCTTTGGAGTGTTGTGTGTCACCCAAAGGGTGTTAATACAAGTTCAATCCAATGAATTGATTTTCATGACATCCTATGATCTTAACGAGTTAACTTTGGTTGCTTTTTTCAACTTTCTAACTCCCACAATTTACTAACTCAAGAAGTTAAATTACATGCTGAGTTAATTTGTCCTATTAGGTTGACGCATTTTTTCCCCCTTAACTTTTAGCAGGTTACGATAATATTGTGAACTTAATTATTTTATTATTATCGAACAATTTATTTGTATTATTTTATAGAGTTAATATATTATGGTTGATAGAATTATTAGTGAACTTATAATAATGCTGGACATTTGTTGAATATATGTATTATGTGTTGGTTATTTCTTTAAAAATCACTACAACATAAATATTTTTTAGCAATATTTGAAAAATGTTACTCAATTATGTATAAATGTTATTAATTTATTTTAACAATATATTATCAAATATTGTACATAGTCCATGTTATTTGTATTATCCGTATCGTTATGCCGAGCTTGAGCTCGGCTTCTCACGCGCTGGGCGACCTCGGCCAAGACGAGGTACCACCCCCATCTTAGAGCATCAAACGTACCAGCGAAGGAGGCTCGCTGATATTACCCAGCGGATCATCTCTACAACAGATCTCTGGTAAGAACATTACTAGAGATTTTTAATAACATTTTTCAAATGTTATAACATTTTAATGATGTTGCCAATATTTTGTTAATTTTATAAAATGATAATTAATTTTAATTTATATATATTACTATCAATTATTATATTTTTATGTCTCTTGAACTCTTAGGAGTTCTTCGAGAAAAGATTAAAGACATTCTTAATTAGTTACTACTAATTATATATAAAATATCATATTTCATTTATCGTAAGTATAACTATATGGTTATATATACTCTTTATGGGTCATTAATCTATTTAATGTGAGATTTTAATTATGGGTAACAATTAGAGATAAGAGAAATATTTTTTTTTTACTCAATATGAGACTTTGATTTTAGAAGTAATTATAGTAACATTTTTCAAAAAAAAATGTTGCAAAATAACATATGTGAAAATTTTTTTACTCGATATGAGACTTTGATTTTGAAAAAAATTTTAAAAAAATAATATTATAATAAAAAACGTTACTTTATCTATAATAAAGTGTTGCAAAATAACCTATTTATTTAATATATAGTAACATTTTAACAAATGTAAAAAAGAAAATACTAAAGAATTAAAATCTAGTAGTGAATAGGAGTAGATGTGTCTTTCTTTTAAGAAAAATATTTTCATTTTGAAAAACATTTGTCAAGTAATAAAATCATCATTTTCTTCATAGGAACTATATTATTTACTTTGTGATATTGGTCATTCCTAAAAATTAAAATGGAGAAAAATGATTTAAAATTTGGTAATTGAAATCTTAGAGGTGAGAATAAATTTGAGAAATTAAAATTAAGAATATGCAATCAATTCAAACAAAATCCAATCAATTAAAATATCTTTAAGATCGAGTTTCTCATTACGAATCATCAACAAAATAAATATATATATATATATATATATATATTTATATATATATAACTAATAAAAATCATTAACATACAACATAAATAGATTCCTCTAACTTATTCATGTTCACCATTTCATCAATCAAACAACAAGAGATTCCAAAGTAAATCACATTTGATGCTACACACCTACATCAAATGCCATCGAGGTAGGGGTCCTCTACCTCGTCCACATTCAACACCATTCGACCTGCATCCGACGTGGATGAGGTAGAGAACCCTTGGACCCTTATGTCTAGTGTGACAAAATCAACACTCGACCCCAAATCAGGCAAAGACGAGTCTTTCATCTCACATCTGATGTCACTCCATTGGCACCCAATGTCAATTTAGACATAACTAATTTTCTCACCTCACGCCCAATTCCATTCAAATCATGCTTGACATAACCAAGTCAGAGGTTTTTCTTTCTCCTTAAGCTTGGAGCCATCAATCCTATGTCTGACGCAAGTAAGATAGAGACTTCCTAATTTGAGCTACGCCAATGCCTTGAAGGTATGCCTGGTGGGATAATGAGTTCTACACATAACAGGCCACAAATTTTCTCTCATTTCACTTGAAAACCAAAAAATTGAAGCATGCAACAACACAATTCATACATACCCATCATGAACAACTTATATCTATCCTCAAAATCTACATGCAACATACAACTTGATCACAACATCAAACTTTACCTCAAGAACAACAAAACACCATTATCACCTTATTTCTTAAAATCAGTCAATACAATCACCAAGATATGAAATTCAAGCACCCATCCAAGTGAAAATCAACATAGACCATACCCAAACAACAAGGGTTGAGACTAGCTTCCCTTACCTCATAGTTGAAGTGATCCAAGAAAGGAGAAGAAGAAAGGAACGTCTTTAAGCTATCATCGAAGCTCTACACCAACACCAACTTGATTCTCAACTTCTAGCTTCGAATCAACTATCCAATGACAATCCTTATGTACTTGAAGAACCTAGAAAGAAGGAGAAAAATAAGCACTCTAGAGCTTTTCTCTCTAGAATATCTCTAAAGTTATCTGATAAATGAATTTATGAGGCTTAAGTCTCAAAAGAAAACTTATATACCCTTCCCTCATAGTCAAATTGGACCTATGTCCAAAGAAACTCTCTAAACGACCTAATCTTACGACAATAAACAACAAAAATACAACAACACATAATTATTGATAAAATACAATAATTAGCAAAAACTTATAATGTTACAATACCAAAATTTTATTGACCCACATGAGACTATCCATATTTCTTGCTATTTTCTATTAGTGCTTTTAGACCATTGACATAGATAATTAATTAATTAATTATGAGTGCAAATGAACATCTTTTTACATTATAATTTTTTTAATATTTTTTATTATTAGTTAAAGTCATTAAAAAGTATATTCTTTTTTTTTTTTGTAAATCTCACTTTTTATTTAATATTATTTAATATTTTCTCTCACAATTTTAAAATTTAATAATTTTTAAAAACAATTAAAAATATATTTATATATAAAAAAAATGTTCCTATCATTCTTGTTCATACCATTGCTCAAGAGGAAGGGAATATGAACGTAGATTTTGGGCTGTGGAATTTGGTGATTCAAAGTATAGTGGTGTGACCACATGAGAGCAATGAGTGGATCTCTAATGTCAAGATTTGCATTCAAGAATATAATGACCATTCTTGCACAACACTTTAATAAAATAGACTTCTTGGTCTTTGTCAATCACAAAACAAATAATTTGGTATATAATAAAAATTAACAAGAACAAAAAGATAAATATATAAAAATTAACTATTTTAAACATTTTAAATTTAGATTTAATTATATTTTTAATTTTTTAAATTTGAATATATATATATATATATATATTCTTTTAAATTTTAATTTTTTATTTTTAGCTCATATAATTTAAACAAAATATTATTTTAATTTCTTTAATTTAAAATTTATCCTTTTAATATTTATAATTTAAAAAATATTATTTTAGTTTTTCAAGATCACTAATATCAAAAGATATATAGAAGAGCTAAAATAATATTTTTTTAAAAGATTTAAATATATTTTTAATCTTTCAAATTTAAAATTAGTCTTAATTATTTAAAAAAAAATTATCTTAATCTTTATACTTAAATTTTATTAAAAAATCTATCAAATATTATATATAAAATTTACTTTTCTGTTAGTCAAAATATGATATTAAACTTGACAAGTATTATATAATTATCTTAATATATTATTTTCATATATGTTATTAGTGATCTAAACTAAAATAATATTTTTAAATTTGAATAATCAAAAATAAATTTATCTTGAATTTAATGGATTAAAAATATATTTAAACTTTTTTAAATTAAAAGATAAATTTTATCTTTAAGAGATTAAAATAATAATTTTTAATATTCTAAAAATTAAAATATAAATTTTAAATTTAGAGAAAAAATTGTACACCCCATATCTAAAATACTAAAATCGTAATTAAATTTTAAATTTATAATGATTAAAGAAGACACATAATAAAAAATAAAGATGTTCCAGTCTTTTCTGTCGGTGAAACTTAAAGACATTTTGAGAAACTATGGATGTCTTATACTTCTTTTTTACTGAAATTGTTATTTTACTTTTAATTGGTTATTTTCAAATATTTATATAACAAACATTGAAAATAACTTTTTTAAGGGTCTGTAATGTTTACTCTTTTTTTTTTCATCTGTTTTTACTTTTTAACTTTCATCTTATTTATATATATATATATTTTTTTCAAAGACATGTATTAGAAAAATAATGATATGTGTTACAAAATAGCTAAATAAACAACTACATGAAATTTAATTGATTTAAAACAAATTTGATTGATTGAACTTATTTTTAATGCTCAACCAAATGATTTCAATGTTGTTTTGATTCAACACGTTATTATTTTTCATAATCAGTTAAAACATTTTATAATTGATTACATATTTTGATTTGATAGATTAAAATAAAATATAATTAAATTTTAATTTTTAAAGAGCATTTTTATTTTTTATTTCTCGGCTCTTTTACTTATTTATTTTCTTTTATATTTATTTCTTTTCATCCTACTACCTAATTAATAT